ATTGTTTATTGACCTGAACTGCCTCTCAAAAGGCGGTTCTCTATAGAATGATGTACCTCGCCCTCCGCCATGTTGGATATTTGGGACAAAATCAGGGCGATGGTGATGTTACCATACTCTTGGTCTCTCTATGTTTGCATTCACTTCTCTTTTGCATCCCGCACACAGGACGCCTCTGTCCTCTCTAGGCTCCTTCCCTTTGATACGTTCAAAAATACTAGGATGTCCAAAATCTTCTTCTTCTTCTTCATCTACGACCAATTTGAACATTGGCAACTTGTTTTTGAAACTAGTCGTCACCATATTCACCCTAAGTGGCTTGGGAAAATATTTTCATCTACTGCCCTTTTCTTTTTATCTTCGAACATGATTCACCCTGACTCAATAGCATCCTATAACACATGACAAAAGATCAAACAATGATTAGTCATATGTGACCATGCATTGTGCCATTTACAGTAATTTTTAACCTTAATTTGTTCAGGGTCTGACAATTTATGCTTGTCATTCAATTTTATCTGCTTATCCTTGTATAATTTATCAAATATCCTTGTATAATTTATCGAATATAAGATCAGCTTTGGTCACATCAAATGAGAACACCCTAGCCTTTTTCTTATCATCTTTTAGAGGCTCATTCTTGCCCGACGCCCTGGATTTGGCCATTATAGGACAAGCATATACATCTCCCTTAATCAATTCGGCCAGACATACTTTTGTCTGATCATCATATTCATCATTAATAGTATGAATGTCGAAGTTTCGATCTCTATAATAAATCCATTTACTAGAGTTTTTTACTTCTTCTTCTCTTATAAATCGCTCATATCTAATTACATTAGCACTTAATTGGAAAAGGTTAGGAAATTCCCTATCTTGGAATTTCTTTTTTAAATCGAAACTCAAGCAATTTTGACAAATTTCTTTTCAGGCAGAGGGATAAAACATTTGCTCCTAGCTATTTTAAATCTCTGAAGGAAGCTTTCTACCCACTATTGGCATTTGACGTAAATTCGTCAAATTGGCCAAAGTAACTTCAAATTCAGTTTTGTAAAACTAAGAGTGGAACAATTGTTCTAGTTGTTGCCATGCTTGAACTAAATTTTCTGGCAATTTAATGAACCACGAGAAGGCTACTCCTATTAACGAACTAGGGAACAGTCTCATTTTATGGTAATCGGTCACTTCACCACTTTGCAGTGTGAATCGTCCTATATGTTCTAGAGTAGAAACCTTTCCTAGACCAGTAAATAACAAATATTCTGTTACTTTGTACCCCCTAGGCCATGGATAAGCCTGATCTACTCAATCTGGATATGGCTTTGTGTAAGTCAGCCCAATAAAATGACGTGTCTCACAAGCCAATTAATCATGTACTATCTACATGATTTGATTCCCTAACATAACATTAGGATCATAAGGAACTACTATAGGTTGATTCATTGGTGGAATTATTTGAGTTCTAATGTTTGGTCCTTGGTTTGTGACAAATGCGCCATTATTTAGGTCATTATTACCGTTAGCCTGAGTGTTTACTCCATCATTAACACGTGGGGGTGTTCTGTCCAGTGGCTTGGACATTGTCTCTTGTATTTAGGTTATCTCCCAAGTTAGATATTCCATTACCATTAACCAAACTATGCACTCTGCCACCCCCCGGTTTAAAGTAGACGGACTAAAAGATAATGTGCATTCCCATTTTGAGTAAATTTTTTCATATTATGAACATTTAGTAAATTTACCTGTTCAAGACATCTTGTGTGAGTTCTCCAAGCAATGTAAGCATGGTTCGAGGACTCATTTCTATCATTGGCTCATAAAGACTTTGATTGCTTTGACTCTATCCCTATGTTCATGGAGTACTTTGTTACTCCTCATATCGTTCGATCACCAACTGGACCACTCATTGGCTTGCTAATTCTTTACCAGAATCCTTATGAGGCATATTGCTTCAGTTTTTTCCATATCCTCAAATACCAATTATCCCACTGGATGTGCCAAATTGTTTCGTGTGGGTTTATCAAGGCCTCGTTAACAATTAAAAGATGGTTCAGATGATTGTGTAAGAAATAAACCTCTTGAGACAAAGTCTCAACGAGGGGTGCTTTATTTACGAAGATTACAACGAAAAATGAAATAGAACGCCTCCAAGGGGCACAAGCACACAAAGTAATTTGCAGGAACTGCTATTCTTAATTTTCTTCATTAATTACATATTCTCTGTTTGAGAGTGATTGATTCGGGGTTCTTCCTTTTGTGTCTTCTTTTCCTTTTTATACTCCTTTAACGGTTTTCTCTGTAGAACTGCTTGAAAACTGCTTGGCAATCTATAACTACCCAATTTCTTCGTGATGGCTGACTTGTCAAGGAACTGTCGTTTGTGACTGTTGCTATTACTCTTATCATTTAACCGCTTGTAACTGAGATTCTTAGATTGTGGGGTGTGATAAGGTTGCTCAATAATCGCTTCAATAACCGTCATTTTAAGTAACCACAAGACATCGTATTCGCTCAAATCTTGATCGACTTAAAAGTTTGGGCGAGAATGGGATCATCGCTTTGAGCGACAGTAAGACACTTCATTCGCTCAGATCCTGGGCGTCCTACAGGTTTGGGCGATAATAGTACTTTGTTTATGATTCTCCGTTATATTCTACAATGGTCTCATTTGGGCCTACATCTTGAACTCTCTAACTGGGCTCCAATTCTTGGACCAATTAATAGGGCTTCATTTTTTTGTATGTTAACAGGTGCAATACCAATTGCTTCATTTTTTGTATGTCAACATACTCATTGTTTTTTACAATGATAAAAGGTTTGCCTTCTTTGTTGATGAAAAAGCAATTGCATGTGCTATTTTTTAATTGAGAGCTTGTTCTCTTAATAGGGCTGTCCGTGGGTCGATTCAGTTCGGTTCTGAAAAGATCCGAACCGACACAAAACTTTTGGGTATTTAATAAATGGACCCATCGGGTCCAAATATAATTATGGAACCGTTCGGGTTCAGTTTGATTCGGGTCGGTTCCGTTCCGTACTATAATTAATTTTTTTAATATTTTTAGCAACACTACATAAATGCAACTAATGACATTTCATTTGTAATGTTTAATTTGCATGTTATTTACAATTTCATATTAAAATCACAAAAACTACCAATTTGAGTTTTATAGTTTCGGTTAAGGTTACAATAATAGAAATTAGGTTAGATCAATCCTCGTGGGAACGATACTCGAAATTTTATAATTTCCACTTTATTAGTTGTCAACGAACCGTACACTTGCGGTGATTTAAATTCGAAACATATTTTCGTGAACATGCATCATGGACATTAATGAGGGGAAATTATGTAGTTTGATAAGAGGAAAATAAAACTTGGTGAGAGCAACCATTGCAAATATGAGGCAACTATTGCAAATAAAATACAATATGCACAGTACTAATTCATCTTAAGATTGTTGGGAATTTTACACCGATTATATATATGTTATTCAACATATCTTCTATATAAACATGAAATCGAATGTAGAAACGAATTACGAAATCGAGTATATATACATAGGCTAATTTGTGTCTTTCCATACTTCGATGAAAGCCATTTCTTTTTTCAATTAAAAACCTTTCATATAACAATAAGAAAGTTAGTACTTTTGAAATCAAGTACAATGCAAAGAAATTAGAAAGAAGAAACATGAGATGCAAGTGTAAGATTAGTTGAGGCAAGTGAAACACTCTTTCCTTAAGATGATTTTGTCATGCATCGATGCTAACTGTTTTTCGACAATCATCTCTTAAAATATAATGATCACGTCTAACCATAGGAGCACTCCAAATGACTTATATCAACGAATTCGAATGGAGTTTCCTCTCTACCATAATCATAACTTTGATGCAAACAGGAATCACTTCTACAAAGTGTTTTTAAGCAAAATTAAAGTGTAAAAATGGAATGTAATGAATAATAAACATCCTAAAAATCCTCTATATAGAAGGTGAAGGGTGTAGTTGGAAAGACACGCCCCAAAATTCAGCATGAAGGGACACAACCCATTCCACCGCTCACCTCCACCCATGTGGTGCTCCAGTGGCGCAATGCGGTGAGCTATCACTTGCAGGTGCGGCCTGCCGTTCGGGAGGCAGCCTCACATGATGAATTCCGATTTTTCCTTCAAACTTAGGATCACAATTTCTCATTCGCCCAAAATTGGTTTTTAAATTCAAAATATACTACGACAATCTATTCGATGAGTAAAATAAGTTAGTCTATTTACTTTCATAATTTGACTATCGGATCAAATCCGAATATTTGATCGAAGCTGACACAAAATCACTTTTCAAGGTTTATACCTAACCAAAATTTCAATTCTTAAACCAAATTCCAACATCTTTATATTCTATTTTTAACATCTTGATTAGAATATCTTCACGATTTAACCACGGAGACACATATTCAACTCATCATCCTTAGCCACAATATTGTGCTTCATTAAGTGAGGTTTCCCGTCTCAACTTGGGCTACCGAGATCTTCATTTTCATGGTTCTAAGGTATTGTCACCCACTTCAAATATTCGCTTTCTCTCTCTCTCTCTCTCTGAGTTCAATTGAATTCATTCCTTATTATTTTTGTCTTTCTGTATACTTCATGCGACTGTACGAATGTTGAGGATTTCCTAACATCTATAAGTTCATTAACATTGTTGTAGATAGAATTTAAATAAATAAAAAATGTGTCATTCTCTAACAACTTTTGATTTAGTGGTTCAACACATTATCAAGCAAAAGATCAAGGTTCCAAACTCACCTCTATAGTTTTACAAAAATTGTCCACGTGCTCTGCACATGAGGGACGTGATGAAGATTATTTGAAGACTAAATTTATACAAACTCGATACAGCCCAAAAAACACCGAGACAAATTCCCATGTTACTTATCATCATTCATGAAACTACCAAATTGGCTTGATTACATGATTTACAGCTAGAAGTTATAGCAGTTGCTTGAAATGGCTGCTGTTGTTGGTTGCCAGGAACAGAAAATTGCTGTAACTAATGCTGATTATGCTGAAGATTTTGAGGATCAAGTTGCAGGGTGTGTAGCTGGTCAACCAACATTTGGTTGCCAGAAGGGTCTGGGAAATATATGGAGGTGGATTACTTCCTTTCTCATTTGCTACACCGGAAAGTGATCAGATTCAACCCTGAACAGAGTGTTCAAGAATTCGAACCCCATTACTCAACGACTGCGGGAGCAAAGGTGAAATACTGGGCATTCCGCAATATGTTGATTTTGTTTAACTGGTTACAAGGTGACACGAAAGGCGAGAATGCATTCTGCGATGGCATCCCACTCCCTTGGCCACTCAAAAAACTGGAATTTGATCTCAATAGTGATGGGGGAACAGGCTGGGCTCTCTTTTTGCCAAATACTCCTATCTAAACACACTGTCAAATACAACTTACACTCCTTGAACTAATATTAATCTCAACAAATTATAAAGGAGTGTGTCCAACACTAAATTATTGTACAATTCAACTAACAATTTACCGAAGGCAAAGTTTTTGAAACATTATTGTGAACCAAAACATTGGCATACGCCTCTTGCACGAAAACAGCAACCTAATTTGCAAATTTAAGTTGAAAATAAAAATTGCAATCCAAAGAAGTAACTTTGTGTCTCTGAACGTCCTAAAATCAATCCCTTCATAAAACAGATAGCTTTTAAGTCAAATATAAACTGAAAAAATTCATGTAACAAAAAGAATGACCATTTAAACTCATAATCTTGAAACGATAAAACTTAAAGTGAACTTATAATCATCCAAAAAATTCCAAAACTTAATATTGTGCGCAAGAATGACCATTGAAACTCATAATCAAGCTCTAAATCATGTAACTAATAAGACCATAGAATTGAGTTTGTTGACTTAACAGTTAAGTTAGTTAGATTAGTTTGCCAACTGTACTAGGCCACCCGTATTTCCTTCTCTTCCCGCCCTTTTTCCTTTCTTTCCTATTTAATGTATTCACTTTACTCTTTTCAATTCTGAGATGAATAAAATATTTTTGATTCAATTCTTCAAATGTAATATGGTATCAGAGCATTTTGGGGAAAATTGAACTGCATGATTTGATTATTCTGTGTTCATCTTCGATTCAATCATCCCGATTCATCTCCATAGCTTTGATCATATCTTCGACAAATTCCAAATCGCGACTCGCGATTTTCTCATCTCAGATTCTGCATTTTTTTCCTATCTGTTTCTTCGAATCCTTCCCATTTCAGCTCAATTTTTCTTTGATTCTTTATTCCTATCATAATGGATCAACTCATTCATGAAGGAGCATCTGATTCTAGGTTTACCTTCACAAAATCCATTGTTGATGAGCCTTCAAGTTCGTATTTCTTACACCATTCTGATAGTCCTGGTTTGGTGCTTGTAAATCAACAGCTCACAGGAGAAAACTATAGCTCCTGGAGTCGAGCGATGACTATCGCGTTATCAGTCAAGAACAAGCTTGGATTTGTTGATGGATCCATGAAGAAGCCTGAGATTACTGAGGGTGATTTACTTAACTCATGGATTAGAAACAATAACATGGTAATATCTTGGATTCTTAACTCTGTCTCCAAGGATATCTATGCTAGTGTGATCTATGTTTCTTCTGCCTATGAGATCTGGAATGATCTAAAGGAACGTTTTTAACAAAGTAATGGTCCGAGAATTTTTCAATTGAAAAAGGAACTGATGAATTTAATGCAAGATCAGAACACAGTGAGTGTATTCTTCACTAAACTCAAAACTATATGGGAGGAATTGACCAATTTTCGACCCAATTGTAGCTGTGGGGAAATGTGTCTGTGGCGGTGTTCAGGAACTAAATAAACATTATCAAATGGAGTACATCATGGCCTTTCTTATGGGACTACATGATTCTTTTTCTCAAGTACGAGGTCAAGTTCTCCTAATGGATCCTGTTCCATCTATTAATAAGGTGTTCTCACTAATTTCACAAGAAGAGCACCAGAGGAAAATGCATTCAGCTACAACTGATGTAACTTCAGAAGGAGGAGCTTATTTTGCCTTTAGATGTGATAATGGCAGAGAAAGGACTAGTTCTGGTTTTCGAAGTGCATCTGGAAATTGGAAAAGGGATAGGCCATATTGCACCCATTGCAAATATCATGGACATTCTATTGATAAGTGTTATAAAGTCCATGGGTTTCCACCAGGATTTAAGTCAAAGCCGAGAGATAATTTTCAATATTTTCCTAAGAATAACACTGTTAATCAAATTTCTGTTAATCCACAGATCGAAGATCATCCACCTGGAGTTGACAAGTTCATGCAGAACTTTAGTGCTAACCAGTATCAACACCTGATGACAATGCTCTCTATTCACTTGGCTTCTACTTCGTCACACACTTCGACTAATAAGGATAAGGCTGAATCATCATATGCTACAGGTATATATGTCTCTAATTCAGTTAAATCATTTTTTATGCAAAAGATATATGGGTTTTGGACTCAGGAGCTTCAAGGCATGTATGTTGCATTGTTGCTACCTTTACAAATTTGAGACCTATTTCTAATTCAACCATTACTCTGCCTAATCACACTAGTATAACTGTCAGTTTATGTGGAGATGTAAAACTAGGACCTGATTTGGTTCTTCATGATGTGTTGTTTGTGCCAGAATTTAAGTTCAATTTGATGTCAGTTAGTGCATTGACTATTGGATCTCATATCAGTGTGCAATTTTTTTATGATCAGTTCATAATCCGGGAAGTTTCCACCACGAGGATGATTGGCAAGGGTAGCATCCTACAAGGCCTATATGTTCTGAACGCAAAAACCTTTAATTCTATTTCAAGTATTTTTGTTAATTCTGTTTCTGCCCGTGTATAGCACAATCGCCTTGGTCAACTTTCTTTCAAGAAATTAGATGTATCGAAAGACCAATTGCTGTATAATTCTGAATTCTCAAATAAACATTTACCTTGTTATATCTGTCCTTTGGCAAAACAGAGGAAGTTTCCTTTTGATTCCCATAATCATCTTTCTGATAACGTTTTTGACCTAGTGCATTGTGATATATGGGGTCCATATCACGTGTCTTCACATTCCGGCTACAGGTATTTCTTAACATTAGTGGAAGATCATTCTCGATTCACCTGGATATATATGTTGAACCAGAAATCTGATGCTATAAGGATTGTTCAACAATTTTTCAACATTGTTGATACTCAGTTCAATGCTTTGATCAAAACCTTCAGATCTGATAATGCAAAGGAATTATCATTCAAAGAATTCTTTGCAAAAATGGGGGTTTACCATCAGTTCAGTTGCGTTGAAAGGCCCCAACAAAACTCAGTAGTTGAGCTCAAGCACCAACATATTCTCAATGTAGCTCATGCCCTTTTCTTTCAATCTCGGGTTCCTATTCGTTTTTGGTTTGAATGTGTACTTACAGCTGTACATCTTATCAGCAGGACCCATGCTCCCATTCTACATCACAAGACCCCTTTTGAATTGCTATATGGGAACAAGGCAGACTATTCCTACTTCAGGGTTTTTGGCTGTCTTGCCCTTGTTTCAACGCTTAGTGCTCACAGATCAAAATTCCAACCACGGGCCAGAACCTGTGTTTTCCTAGGATATCCTCCAGGAATTAAGGGATTCAAGCTCCTTGATGTTATCTCTAAACAAATTTTCGTTTCTAGAGATGTCATTTTTCACGAAGACATCTTTCATTTTCATTCTATTACTGATGATCATCAATTATCTGATCCATTTCCTGATCTTGTTTTACCATCGTCTTCATTGTCCTTACCACAAGATGTTTTAACAACTACCTCACTTCCATCATCTTCTCCTGTCCTTCCTGTTGGACCTATTGTTCCAACATCCACCTCTGATCCTATTTCTGCTCCAGCCTTTGATCATACTTCCCAATCTAATGTTTCATCTACATCTACCATTCGAAAATCTCAGAGAGTCTCTAGACCTTCTTCTCGTCTTCGGGACTTCCACTGTAATCTGTTTTCCTCTATTCCCAGATCTTCTCATTTTCCTCCTAATCATATTGGGCATTTCTTATCCTATGACACTCTTTCCAAATCCCATCAGCATCTTATCATGAACATTACTTCTTAATTTAAACCTCAATACTATAGTCATGCTGTCAAGTTTCCTCAATGGCGAACGCCATGAAGATTGAATTAGAGGCTTTGGAACAAAATCACACCTGGTCTATTGTTCCCTTTCCTGCTGGGAAACATCCAATGGGATGCAAATGGGTTTATAAAAACAAGTATAACTCTGATGGCACTTTGGAAAGACACAATGCCCGTTTAGTTGTGAAAGGATTCACACAACAAGCAGGTTTGGATTACTTCGACACTTTTTCACCAGTCACTAAGGCAGTTACTGTTTAGATATTGCTCACTCTTGCAGCTTCCCAGAACTGGCACTTGATTCAACTTGATGTTAATAACGCATTTCTGAATGGTGATCTATTTGAGGAAGTCTATATGGATTTACCTCTTGGCTATGATCTCCTTAAGCCTCACACTCAGGGGGCGAATTTGGTCTGCAGGTTGCATAAATCATTGTACGATCTTAAGCAAGCATCACGATAATGGAATTCTGAGTTTTCTAGTGCTCTTATTCGTAATGGTTTTATCCAATCCAAAGCGGATTATTCTCTTTTTACCAAGGGTTCAGGCAATGAGTTTATAGGATTATTAGTCTATGTTGATAACGTAGTCATCATTGGTCCAAATTTAAAGGTTCTTGATGAGTTGAAAGATTTCTTGAATTCTCAGTTTAAACTAAAGGATCTGGGGTGTTTAAAGTACTTCTTAGGTATTGAGATTGCTCGAGCATCATCGAGGATAGTAATTTTACAATGAAATTACACTTTACAGCTGGTTGAAGATGCAGGCTTTTTGGCTTGTAAACGTGCAAATACTCCTATGGATTCCAGACTTAGGCTTAGTTTACATGAAGGAGATTTATTGGCAGATGCATCTCAATACAGGAAACTCATTAGAAGATTGATTTGTTTGACTCTCACCAGGCCAGACATTACTTTCACACTCCATAAATTGAGTCAATATGTGTCTCAGCCTAGGTTATCTCATCTTAAAGTTGTTCATCACTTAATCCGTTATCTAAAAGGTAGTCCTGGCCAAGGCATTTGTTTCTCTGCAGCTCCTACTATGTCTGTTCAGATTCCAGCATTCTCAGATGCTGACTGGGGTTCATGCCTGGATACACGTAAATTTACTACTGGTTTCTGCATTTTTGTTGGTCCTTCGATGGTCTCCTGGAAGTCTAAGCGCCAATCCACCATTTCTCGTTCATCTACTGAGGCAGAGTATAGGGCTCGCGCAACTACTACCAGTGAAATTGTATGGATCAAGTAGCTTCTGG